GCCGGCCGGAGCCCGAGCCCGAGCCCGAGCCCCGCCGCCGGGGCCGCGGCCGCCGTGTTATTGTTATTGCTGTTCCGCGTCTTGCTGCCGCGGCCCCCCGCGCGCTGCTGCTGCTGCTGCTGCTGCTGCTGCTGCTCCTCCTCCCGAAGCTTCTTCAGCTTCTTGAGGTAGACCGGCCGGGTGCTCTCCGTCACGGGGCCCGGACACAGGCCGTAGCGGCGCAGCTGGGAGAAAAGCTCCTCGTCCGAGAGCTGCTGGGGCGACGCAGCCGCTGCCGCCGCCATTTTCTCTCCAGGGTGTTTTACAAGCTCCGCGCTACCGGAAGTGACGCGCCGCCCTAGACCCTGAACTAGACCCGGCTGCGTCGCCCCGGCGGCCCCGCGGGCGCCGCGGCCAATGGGAGGCGCGGGAGGCGCTCACCTGAGCGGGAAAGGCCACCTGAGCGGCGTGCGGCGCCGGCCCGGGGTTTCCGCGCCCTCGCGGGGGCTGCGGCCGGGCCCCGCTCGCCCGGTGCGTCCCGCCGCGCTCCGCCCGCCCTTCCCAGCGCCCCTCACTAAGCCGCATCTTGACCTCTTCCTGCCAGGTTCCCGCCGCCGCGGGCAGTCGTTCTCCGAGGGAGGTCGGCGTGGAAGTTCACCGCGCTGGTTTTCTTTTCGTGCAGATTCCCGTTGCAGAGGGCGCTGCGAGAGGAGCAGAAGCACTGGAAGCCGGACTCGGTTAGCAATTTTGCGGTGCGACTCTAGACTCCTTTTGGTTTGTCCTTTTGATAAAAATAAATAAATAAAATAAAATACAAAATAAGTTGAAAGAAAAGACTGTCTCACTGCTCTTTTGGAGAAGCAACAACCCCCCTCTCCCGCACCCCTACCCCCACCCCCTTTCCAAGACGCTATGCAGTTTTCAAGATTAGTAGCTATTTGTTCACTGGTTGAAAGTAAGTTACTAACGTGTTTTTCCTTCTTAAAAATCTGATGACCGCGCAAGGTCATTTGGGGAGATGAAAGAGCCTATCGTGTTTCATTTTATGACGGTGAAGAAAGAGGTACACATCATCCTATTTCCTTTTTAGCACCTTTGCAATAGTTTAATTATTAATTAAGACTTTCATTGGCTTTAAAAATATTTATTGTTATCCCTTTGAACTGGAAGCTCCATACACAGACAACCCGTGATTCTATTATTCGCAGCGCCCATAGAAACCCAAATTTGTTGAGCCGGGCATGGTAGCACATGCCTGCAATCCCAGCCCTCGGGAGGCTGAGGCAGGAGGATCGTTGTGAGTTCGAGGCCAGCCCGAACTGCACAGCAAGACCCTGTCTCAAAAAGACAAAAAAAAAAAAAGAAAGAAAGAAACTCAAATTTGTTGAATGAGTTAATAAATTGAAAAGCTAAGAGATGAACAGTTTGACGTGGGAATAGTGCCTGAAGAGGCAGATTAAACCTTCATACAAAGACCACTAAAACTTGGAAATCCTATCGTCTCATTCACAGTACAGGAAATGCATTCCAGAGGAGAAATTCGCCCACTTTCATGAATACGACTTCCCATGTCCTTAAATCCTGGCACAACTGAGAATTTTGAGTACCTGTGCCCTAACTACTACACAGCAGCACTTAAAAAGTATTTCAATCATCACAACCTTCCGTTAGTTACTGTAATCTAGTATGTTATGCCCATCTGCGCAGGAAAAAAAAAAGTCAGAAGGATAGATACTAGGCTTTCAGCATACCGAATCCAACAGTAGAAAAATGCTTAGTAACCTCAACTTTCTTTTTCCGGTCCTGAGTATTGAACCCAGGGCCTTTATAGTGAGCTGGATTCCCAGCCCTATTTTATTTTTTAAGACAGGTCCTCATTAAGCACCTAAATTGCCCAGTATGGCTTGAATTTACAACCATTCTGTCTCAGCCTTCCAGAGTGCTTATGATGGTAATGGCTCCAAATTTATTACCATAATTATCTGGGTAGGGAATCAAATTATTATAAACTTGCCATAGCTGTGTCTCAGTACAGCGGAGTGGCTAGGCTTTGAGTTTTGGCGTTAAGCAGGACTGGGTATGGATCCAGTCTTCTCTTTTCCTTTTATTCTTAGTTCAACATTTACCTCATGTCCCATTGATCTTCAGGTGGACATCATGGATGTCTATTGGTTCTGCCTCTGACTTTCACGAGCCTTTAAATGTTCTCCTACAAGGATTGTTGGATCATTGGTGTTTGTAACTTTGAGTAAATGGTTTACTCTTTTTGAGCCTTATTTTCCGTATACACAAAAAAATGAGGGATGATAAACTTTTCTCTGAAGGTTAAGGATTAAATGAGATAGACACACAGTGAACACTTGATAAATGTTAGTGAATAATGTAAAGCATTGTGTGCATGCATTTAGTAGCCTGGCTCCTGAAAACTCCATGTAATCGTAATTAAAATGCCACTGTACCCACAGAAATAGAAATGATTAAACTTAGTTCACAAGGCCGGGGATATAGCTCAGTGGTACAGGCACCTGCCTGGCAAGTGCAAGGTCCTGAATTCAATTCCTGGTACCAAAAAAAAAAAAAATTTATGGGCTGGGTATGTAACTCAGCGGCATAAGCGCTTGCCTGGCAAGCATGAGATCATGAGTTCAATTCCCAGTACCAAAAAAAAAAAATTAAACTTAGTTCACGGTATTCATAATCTCTTTCAGGATTTAATAAAGATCAAAGGCTTTGGTAAACATAGTTCTTGGTTATTTCAGCCTTTGTGGGCAGCAAGGTTTGGAAAGCAGGATCCAAAATCTCGGTGTCCAAAGTACATGCCTTAAACTGAGCATGGCGGCACACTCCTGTAATCCCAGCACTTGGGAGGCTGAGGCAGTAGGATCTTCGCAAGGTCGAGATTGAGGCCAGCCAGGGCTACAAAATGAGCTCAAGGCCGCCTTGAACTACATAGTGAGACCCTGTCTCAAAAAAGAGAGAAAAAAAGGTTATATGCCTTAGGATAAATCTTAGGCTTTCAGAATCTTCATTCATTCTTTTTTAAACTGTTGACAATACTGCCTACACTACTTGGCAAATGATTAGTATTCAACAAATATTCAAGAACAGTGAAGGAATACAGTATGTGAAAGTGCCGTTCAAGTACGTTGTTTACATGTTAGCTATTATTGCTAGACGTCAATAGCAATGACGGTACACTGATATACAACTTTATAAGAACTACACACATTGTCTTGCTGTGACAAAACACCCAACACTGAGAGTTACAGGAAGAAAGGTTTGTTTAGCTCACAATTTGCAGAAGTGTCAGTACATAATTGGCTGGGTCCAAGATGGGGCGCTGTGCAGACAGACAGATACTGGAGCAGAGAAACAGTTCTTGACAGCCAGAACGTAGCAAAACAAGCAAGGGACAACCACAGTTCTTTCTATCCCTTGTGCTTTATCCAGGCTACTTAGGGCAGGCCGCACTCACACCCTTAATCCTAGTGCCCTTGAGCCTAGCATTGCACCATGAATCAATCCCAGTGTCACACACTCTAGATCCAGCCACCTCTGAAAAAACCCACCTATGACTGCATGAGACTTCGGGGGGACATCGCGACAGAAGCCATGACACACATGATCTCATTTGGTGGAGGAAAAAGAAAACCCTTCCTCTCTGAGGATACAGAGGGTGTGATTTGCTGCAGGGACCTGTATGAGATTATAATTCCCCCTACTTTGGGTATTTGAACGGACATTTTCTCAGGAGAACCCTCCCTGCCTCAGCCTTGTCACTCATCACTTCTCATGTCTGACATTCGCTTCATTTGCCCGTGGATCCTACTCCTGCATCCAGATTGACTAAATTTTAAAATATAGGCTATTCTGTGCCCGGATACTTCACAGAGAGTATAATCTCAAGCTCACTCGAGCTCCACAGCTTCCAAAAATCTGAATAAAGGAAATATTTATGATAGATTCCAGAAAGTAGACAGAGCAGCTTCTCCTCTAGATGTTTTTAACTTATCTCTCCCTCAAGCCAGCCCCTCAAAAATGAATATAGCTAATTCCCCACTCTCTTTTCTTCTTACCTCCACTTCCCACTAAAATATTTTTCACTTAGAGTCATTAAAGGACCTTGTATAGAATGATACGAAACCAACATTGCATTCAGATAAAGATACTCCTGATGATTTGTTTCCTCAAAGATAATTTTCTTTAGTCTCAATATTGGAAATAGTTTAATTTTTTTCCCCTGAAACTACTTACTTCTTTGGTTTTTTGCTTTCTTTCTGTTGAGGTGCAGCCCACATAATACAAAATTAACCATTTAAAAATATACAATGAAGGACAATACATTCACGTGTTGGGTAACCATCTCCACTGTACAGTCCCCTAAAATTATCGTCACTCCAAAGCAGAGCCCAGACCCATTAAGCAGTCACTCCCCATCTCTCTCTCCTCAATCCCTAAAAACCACTAACATACTTCTTATCACTGCAGATTTAGCTATTCTGGCCATTTCATGTAAATCAAATCAAACATTATGTGACCTCTCGTGTCCGACTTTTTTTTACTTGGCATGATGTTTGTGAGATTTATCTACGCAGTAACATATATCTCCATCTCATTTCTTTTTATGACTATAATATACTTAATTGTATGAGTGTGCCGTATTTTATTTATCCATCCATCCAGTGACGGATATTTTGGTTGTTTCCACTTTTGGCTACCATGAATAATGCTATCATGAACACTGATGTACATGTATCTGTCTGAATAACTGTTTTCAATTCTTTTGAACTGAAGAATTTCAGTACTTCACAGTGAATAATAGATCGTATGGTGATCCTCATTTGAACTTCTTGAGAACTCTTATGGCTATATATATATTTTTTTAAAGAAAAATAAGAAGGAAGCCATCAGCCTAAGGTTTTTCCTATATCCAGAACTCTTACATAGGCAAAACTGGGGCTATTTGCTGTAACTGACTGCTAAGATCTGAGTATGGTTTGTACCCCCTAAAACTGATGTTGAAGCTTCATTCCTCAGTGTGTCAGTACTGCAGGGGTAGCTGGTGGGAGGTGTTTGGGCCATAGAAGTGGCGTCCATGTGAATATATTAACGCCCTCTCACAGGAATGAGTGAGCTTGCTGTAGAGAGACTGGTAAGTTACCTTGGGAGCAAGCTCCTCATCCCTCTTACTTCTGTTCTGTATTCACGTATTTTCCCTTTCCCTTGTCAGCCCTTCACTGGGTATCATAAGAAGTGGAATCTGAACAGGTATGACCACGTGATCTTGGACTTCCAGCCTCCAGCGCCACGGGCTAAATCCCCCCTCCCTCCTTCTTTTTCTTTTTAAAATATTTTTTATTTCGTTTTGCAGTAC